ATAATAAAGAGAGAAACTCCTGAAAGAAAGAAATAATATTTAGCCTCCTGTTTCTTTAATGTATTGTTTGTTTATCGTGTTTTGCATTAATATGGAAAACACGATAGCTGGAACACCTGGTTATTAATAATAAGACCTTGACGTTTCTCGCGTTCCACTTGTTAATTAGGATTAGCGTGGGTCATGTTATATCAAGATGTATTTAAAGACCTATACAGATTAGTAGTACTACTATGTGCATACATAGGTGCAATATAGTATTTACTATACTGCGGATCAAAAAAGAAGAAGAAGAAGAAAATGGGATGCGTTTAGATATAAGTTAGGTGGTCGAAGTTTAATTTTTAACGAAAGTACTGAACGAATGAATCGAGAAGTTGACGATTTGTCAGTTTGATGGGGCGAAACAGCCCCAACAATGAGCGAATTCAGTGTAGTGAGCATGACGCAGCGAGATGAATCTCCTTCTGACTCATAGTCAGCTTTCTTCCCAATTGACATCAGACGAAAACATCCTGTTACAATCATTAAATGATATCTGTATGGCAGATATTATGACTTAATCTAAACTATCGTTAATTATCGCAGTTCGTAACAGAAATTGTTTCGACATGTTGATTCAAATTTCATACTATGACAATGAAGTGTTTAATTCGATTATAAACTTATGGAAAATTAAAATTGCAATTAAATAAAAATTATATTTCTCATTGAATGATTTTATACACAATTCAATGCTTATCTCTTTTCATCATTCTAATCAGAATATTTTGTTATAACATACTGTACAATTGTAGTAATTTTCGCGACCCGTGAAAGCAAAAGTCGAACGTGGGCAAACGAAATTAACGAGGAACCGATCAGCGTTCAAGGACACGCTCCGTGTAAGTTCGCGTGCACGTCACCGTATACGATAATGTTGGTCAACGAACCCTGGTAGGCGATAGCGACGGATCAATTGAAATGCACCCCTCGCGTCCTGTGTCGCGCTCCGTTTTCGTTTCGAAGGGGGGAAAGCCTAATACCAATGTTTTCTTCGCCGAAATGTTCCTTTCCAAACGTTAAAGAAGATTATAGTGAGCTTAAGAGATACGAAACAATTCTTACCTTCAACTCTTTGCATAGTTATCGATCCACATAAAATTTTACACTTGGGTTTTATTATAATCGAATGTTGATTTTTTATGAGCGTTTGATTTAAGTGAAAATGTATACCATTAAAAATTGAAAGGATTTGTCACAGAAAAATGTCTACAATTTTGCAATTTAATTAAAATTAGTCAATGTGTGACGTAATAACGAGTATAAAAAAGAACTGATAAATCCGATCTATTACGAAGAATTGCAAGTGTCGAATGCAGCCGCAGACTAGGAATCACCGCCCCTGGCACCTTAACCGCAAAAGGTGGCTTCAGGAAAAGAAAGAGGAGAAGCGAATAGACTCAAGGAGAAAGTGGAAATTAGGAAGCGCGCGTGTCATACGCGTAGCAAGAGGGAATAATCGTGGTAGCGTAGGAGAAGATGCGAGCATGGAAGGGTCGCACCTATTCCCTGAGCAACCCTCTGCGTTCCCTTTTCACTTGGGGGTGCGCGTGGCGCACGTGAGTACGCGCGCACGCGCAAGCGCACCCGCTTCAAATTCTACCTGATAACACCGGCTGCGACGTTTCTTTCCCAGTAATGCCTGGTGCGTGTCGGCGTTGCGACGTGTTCGCCACGACCTCATTTTCCTTCCCAATTTTCCAAACGTTTCGCCATACGTTTTCCACCACATAAAGATCGAAGCCGACCGCTGATTGCCACGGTTGACAAAATGAAACGCCGGTACATCTCGTCCGCGACAGTGTCAGCGCGAGCATTGCCCGTTCGCTCGCAACTAAACGAAACGCACATAATCGTGACGAAAATGTAACGAGTAAAATTGCTTCAGTGATAGAAAGCATGTGTTGCGTGTGTCGCATCGTTAATTAAAAAAGGCAAGGGATAGATAACGGTTTAAGCATTACTTTTATCATTTAATATTAAGGACTATCCTTCATTTTTCCGGATGTACGTCCTAAATTCTAAATCAATTTGAATAGAATTATTTAAAGAAATTTTTCATATACAAATTTTCATCCACCAATTAATTTATAAGAGACGATCGTTAAATGAATCGTCGATTTGGATGAATTCGTTCAGTGACTATATATAGTTTCCTTCGTGAACGAATTTAAGTTTACTTAAAAACGTCGTGTAGTTTAAAACTGGCAGTTGTTATTAACTGTTGAAGAGTGCAGAAGAGAGAGAACACGAGCATGCTTAACGAAAAACATTAGAAGATCGAGACAAACAAAGTCAACCTTGCATTCTTCTAACCATGCGTCCGGCGTGATACCATGTGAACAGTTAGCTCTAAAGTGAAATATTGTACTGTGAATTGATTCATGTGAACTTCGAACCATGATACCATTATTTTTGCTATTGTTATTGCCGATGGGATCACCTGCCTTCGGTAAGTCTTGTCATCGAATCTTTTACTTGCACGTAGAAACCACGTTTCATTTAGTTACTAAACCTTCAACACATTAGTTAGTCTTCCTTTCTAATTGTAAGCTTCTGTTTTCTGCTTTTATATTATAATTAATGTGAAACTGAACAGTAAGTATAGATAAAACGAATAGAAAAAAGTATATCGAAATATAAAAATAAAAGAATGCAAATACGTGTGTCCTGCAAAAAGTACAATAATTAGAGTGGAATAAGGAAGGTTGACATTTTCATTATCGAAAATCATTGAAATCTAAGTAGACGCATGGTCTCGTTTTAGAAACGTATGGAACACGGCCTGGTTCTGATCCCGCGAAGTCACGACATTAAATCGACGACGAAATTAATGCGGTGCAGCATTGTATGCTAAAATTCGCGTGCTCGACGATACCGATTTCAGGCTCGCTCGCTATCAGAGTTATCGCTCGCGATTTCGTACGCTTGGGAAAAGTGGATAAGGAACATGGTACCGCGTGTACAGTAAATAATTTGATTAGCGAAGCGAATCACCTTTAAAACAACACACTGGCTCACGTGAAATTTACTTATAATATATTTTAAACAAATATTTGTTTATAAGCCTTTAGAATTCATGAATTTTTATGCATTTATTACGTAAATCAAACAATCGGAAGTGTTGCTCAGGATTTAAAATAATCTGCTGTAAATCAAACCACTTCATACAATGTAGTATGGAACTGATGCATAGATCATCGGATTTTGCATCTTCCCAGATAAATTCCTAAATTTTAATAGTCATAGCCAGGTGCGGTTGAATAATAGAAGAGCACATAGGATTTAGGACTTAGGAGCAGTAGAGGATTTTAACAGCGGGTGGATTACGTCACGCATCGTAATTACGCTTGTAGGATTTTGGAGGAACAAGATTTTCAAATGAATACCACCACGCGAAGGTTGGACCGATGACATTCGCACTTGACCGTATAATCAGGGAACGCGATATCGTCACGTCGCGTGCAACCACTCTCTCCCTCACGTGATATTCCAATGCAACCCGAAAAAATCGATACTACTGCCCTTCGCGTCAACTTGCGCCTTTACTTTCTTCTATTTGTCTGGATTCAATAGGATTTACGAGAATTACATTATCCGGTCAATTTATTGTGCGACGGACCAACATATTTCCTCTCTGGATTTACATTATTCGAATAATGTAGTGGATACGTAACGACGGCGGAGCAAAATGTAGTACATTGTATGCGATTCATGACAAATTGATCGCTCGATAAAGGGAAGATTGTCCGAAAATGGATGAATGTGATAGGCCAGTGGATATATATAATTAGCAGTGCCGTTATTTAACAGCAAATTCATTAACACGCCATTACAATTACCCGATTCCCCAAGCGTGTGCTATACAGTGTAATGTGTCTCGCGGTGACGTAGTGGCATGCGAAGCGGTCGTTTTACAATAGAAAAACACGCGAGAATCCCAGCCAATCGATTCAAGATGCGATCCAATGTATTTCCCCTTAAAATTCCATTCGACGAAGGAAAGTCAATCAAACGAGGAAAAAATTGCACAAGGTACTCCATCAACGAATTTGTCTTTCAAAATATGAGACAATTTCTCGATTACCTGAATATTATAATTAATATCACAATTAAACAGTTCACGACTTTGCATTTTACGGTACTTTAAAAAATTCATCATGAATTCTTCTTAAGGTTGTATGAACCGTAAAGTTTAAGACATGTAATAAAAAACTGTGTCCA